GATTTTTTCACAGATTATCTGTGTTATGTACTACTGTCAGGATATAGTAAAAGTTTCTCAATAGGTTATTTACCCAGCTACCCACTGCAGCTTTAAATTCTCTATTTTTCCTACAGATAATGAACCCAGTGGCCCAAACATCCTAATGAGAGCTGCTCACTCAAAAAAGTTTAAAGAGATGTACAGTATATATGTCATGATCTGGAATTCCTTTTTTATACTTTAACAGCTGTCTTTTGGAATGGATGTGCCAAAATGTTTTTCTGGGTCCCAGGGAGTCATGTGACTGAGATGGTGGCTACAGTATCTCTGTACTGATCCAAGTAGATGAAACTGATATCCATATTCTCTGACAGCAAACAAGCAGAATGTTCTTGAATGTCAGAGCAAATCTTCAACTCTCTGATGCCACACTTAAAACACATGAATAGTGATCATTATCAGGGTGTAGATTTAAAGTAAGCCAGACTACAGCAGAACCTTACAGTATACCACTATACATACAGAACAGTGTGTTGGACTCTATATCCTCATATAAGATATTGTGTGTGAAGGCTTATTAAGAACAGATTCTATTTCAACCTAATGGTCACACACACACAGTAACAATATATAAACAACAACGTTATGTGTTGTTTTATTTGTATTTATGCACCCCAGTGTGTATGTGTGTGTTTTGCAGAAGTCCTTTTCACACCAAGCCAAAGTAATACGAACAGTAATAAGAATTCTTATTCCTAGCAACATTATTGCTCATAAATTCAAACCAGATCCCCTCTGGACTTACTGGAATGATGGCTCCACATACGCCAACAGGCTCATGTTTGGTTAAACACATGAAGCTTCCATCTGTAAAAAAAAAAAAAATAGAAACAGCACAATCAGCTTGATCACTGTGCTATAGGTGGAGGTTCATATTTATACAGCACCAATATTTACCTTTTTTTTTCACAGATAGATGCTGGTAAGTGGACCTGGAGTAATTTTTTTTAAATTGGACTAAGTCATCCAAGGTCAAAACAGAACTTTGTTTGCATAACTATGTTTTACAAGTATATAACTAGAATTACAGGTTAGAATCAACATATTGTTTATTGCTATCATTATAACAAACAGACACTTTTTTATGACCAACTTGGTGATGTAAGCATACAAATTTAGAAATTATACATATTTTAATTTGAAAAAAAGCAGCAAAAAAGCAAATACATTTCTCAAAACAAGAAAATAATTTTGACATGATTTAGAATTTTTATTTATTTATTATTATTTTTTATGTTTTTTAGCAGCAGTGGCAATATTTTGCTTTTATGATGGGATGTTAAGTTCGGATCATTATATTTTCATTTTTTCACTGTTGTATATTGAGTGCTAACTCCTTGCTGTTCCTGTCATTCACTTTAATTTGACTGCTTTTGTTGTTACTGTGACTGCAGCCTGTGCTGATGACTCAGATCACACACTTAATAAAATGTAGATTCAGTTGCCTCAATCACTAAAGGTCATTTAAAGGTTTAGAGTGTAACATTGAGGAGGATCTATTGTCAGAAATGGAATATAATATTCATAGGTATGTTTTTTTTATTAGTGTTTACTCACCTGAATATAGGAATCATTGTGTTTTTGTTTCCTTAGAATGAGCTGTTTTGATCTACATATGCTGTGGGTCGCCTTTTGTGGAGTTCATGTTGAACCGCCATGTTTCTACTGTAGCCCAGAACGGACAAACCAGACACTGGCTATAGAATGTGGCTAACGTTCTAACAAAATCAAACATTTCTGACTGCAAACAAACCACCCAACTCTAAAAGGTTTTTTTTTTCCATTGCACAAAATGACCTCTTTGGTGTTAAAGAAGTAATGGAAACACAAGGCTAACAAATTTCTCACATGTAAATTTAGACTGGTGTGGAAATACCTTTCATGTGGTTTAAATAGTAACTCAACACCAGACTGAACAGCAGTGTTTCACTGTCCTCTCAGCATCATTGATGGGTGTGGTTGGGTTTGGTTAGAAGTGTGCTATTTTGCACCTTTAACCACAGTCAATGTTAATGTCACTGAGTCCTGGAGTACACTTGTACATCACTGCAGCAAGGTGAGAAGCTGAACCACTTGAGGTCAACAAAAAACAGATTTGTGGGGTTAGTTTAAAGGTCCAGTGTGTAACATTAAAGAGGATCTATTTGCAAGAAGGTATTTCTTTAGTGTATAATCATTAGAATAATTGTGTCTTTGTTACCTTAGAATGAGCTGTTTGTATCTACTAAGGAAGCGGGTCCTCTTCTACAGAGTCTGACATGTTGAACTGCAATTTTTCTACGGTAGCCCAGAATGGACAAACCAAACTCTTGTTCCAGATAGGGCCTCTCGTGCTTTTTACAAGTTTCGCAGCCATCTTAGTTTTTTTCTACATGCTTGGAACAGAAGGGCTTATTTGTTGGTTGCAATGTGCATCTTCAGTACTACATCCCACTAAAATCCTACACACTGGTCCTTTGAGTATACTAAAATGATATTCTGTTTGTTAACGTTCAAGTGACAAAGCCCTCTAGTGGCCATTGTGATGGATGAAGGTGGTCAGGTGATGTCATTATAAAGTCAGCCACTGGGTCGAATTTGTTCAGATTTTCCCTGAATCAATGAAATGAGGTGGTGGAAACACTACTGCATTTGTCCATAGGGGCCGCCAGAATCAACACAAGATTTTCTTGTAGGAGCTTTAACTATATCGATGACACATCATAAAACTGATTTTTAACAGAATTCAGCTTGGTGTGGAGTAGATCTGCAACGATGAGTGAAAATTCAAGGCTTTTCTGTTATCTTTGTCATTAATGATGATAAAGGAAGAGTCTTTTGGACTGTTGGTTTGACAAAAGAAGCAATTTCAAGATTTCACTTTGGGCTCTGAGAACATTGCTCACAATTTTCTGACATTTTATCGAATAATCATAAAAATAATCAGCAAATTAACTGATAATGAAAATAATAGTTAGTTTCATCCGTAGTGCCAGTGGGAAGATTCAAAGTTCTAGACCCAGGCAACAAACGATGTGCTATCCACACCCTGACCTTCTCTAATTTCCCGTGTGACTGATCACAGACTGGGAGACTCCCCCACGACAGGACTCATCTCCAGCTGCCTTTATCTTTGAGTCACTGGGAGAGTCCATGTTCAATTGTAGCCCACTGAAGGTTGCGCTCACTCAACGGGGAAGTCAGCAGGAATCGTCCTTGTACAAAAGTGTTGGGGTGGGGGTGGGGGCTGCTATCAGCATGTAACACAAGATTCAGAGGGGCAGCCCCAGGCCTAACTGACGCACACTGGAATATCCCACGGAACTGGTGGAGTCATAAACAAAAAAAGGGGGACTGCTGGAAGAAGTATACTAAAAGTATAACACACTTGATGACTAGTTGAATATCAGTCATTTAAAGCTGCAGTAGGTCATTTTCATAAAAATAACTTTTTGTCATATTTGCTGAAACTTTCACTATATCCTATAGGTAGTAAAGAGACGGATACTCTGTGTAAAAATCCGGTTCCTAATGGCATCTGTAAGAATCCACCAGGCCTGAACTTAAACAACCAGTCAGAGCCAACAAAAGATAATTGAAATTTGAATCTTATTCCAAGGTCGTCAAATACAGATGCTTTGGGACCCTGTGAATGACACTCAACAATCAACTATCTTAAAGCCTCAAACCCAAAGCGTCTTTATAGCTTTCTCAGTGGTAATTGGTAAATATGACAGCAAACCATTGTATAAAAAAAGTTACCCACTGCAGGACGCGAGGTTTAATTAATGATTAAATTAATAAATTAATAGGCTATGGTAAAGCTTACCTGCAGGTAGAAGGATGTGGAAAGAAACTTCCCTGTAACTCCCCCCCTCCAGTGATTGAATGCTTGGCGCCACCTCTTGTTGTAACCAAGCCTTGCTGCGGGGGGCTTAAGGAGCATTTCACCATGGACCACACAGGACAATCACCACCACCCACATCACTACTGTGGTCGAAAGTGGTAATTGCAGTTATGTGACATCCTTGGGTTCCAGCTTGTAAAAACTCAGCTTCATCCACAATATGAAATGCATAAACTCAGAGACACGTTTCCTTAATTTGCAGAAAAGATTCTTTCTTCTAATCTATCCTCTTTCTGATATATTATATATATACTATAGTATTATATAGCACAGCTGACAAAGGACAGATGAATGACTGTTAGTATTTGCATTTAAATACCTTTATTACTTGACATTTTAGATTTGTTTACATTGAGATATAATATTTAGAATATATAGGTGAATCTGCTGGTTTGATAAACATTACTCTTATTCTACTTTTATCTTAATAAAAGTATTTAGTTCTTATCCAGTTCCTGAATTTAAACTCCACATAGGAACGTGCACTCGCTGTGCACGTACCATAGCCAAGTTTTTAGAGACTACAAGCTTTGCTCTTCCAATGTTGTGGTATGACCACTAGGTTCCCCTCCTTCTCTGCCGGCACGCTTATTCTGAGCCTCAATGCCAGTTTTCCTGAGGTCCGATTTGAGGAGGAAGCAGTGGCCATTGAAGGCGAATCCAAGGACTTGCAACAAAATCCTTGTCTCAACAGCTGTCAATGAAAAAACAGAAGACAGATCTAATTACTGAGTCACTTGATCTTAATGAACCAGAGATAAAATTAAGTAATACAGTAACGGGGAGCTGCAAATAAATATGAGGTAAAATAGACTAGAAATGTTGTGACCGTTGGTGAGTAGTCCACACCTCCTCAGTACGATGTATCCCTTTTAAATCTTTTGTTTGCATGTGTTATACTATTGCCAGGAGTAATCCTACTGAGCACAATATTAACAATGACAGTGGTCCCATGACAGAAGATGATTGCCTAAAACAAAGATTGTTATTAATTTATGACACAGTTCTCAGAATCTTCAAATTTCACAGAGAATTATTTTATTTTAAAATTTAGTAAATTCAGAAGATATTGTAATACAAATGCAAAAAGAGGAATTGAGGATGAACAACGGTGTTGTAGAAAGGATTAATCTAAGGTAGAAGTGTGAAGCATCTGTCTAGACTGACCAAAACCATGAAACTGTTTATAAGATTTCTTTTACTCGGTGAGTGAGAATGCAGCTAATAAGTCATCTAGCATGAATACATACGATATCTGTTCTAATAAAAAAATGGCTATTGAAATTAATGAGATATGCTGTATATAGCGGGGTGTAGCTGTTCATTAGTGTGGTGGTATGTGGCAATGGTGGGATGATCTTGTGAGGCCCTAGAGCAGTAGAACGACTTCGAATCATGGTTTTTAAAAAATGAAGTTGCCGACCTAGATCCGTCGGAGAGGAGGTCGGCGCACCACCACGAGACGATCTGTGCGGGCGTGATTGCGAGTTTCAAAAGGTCGTGAGATCTCGGAGTTTCAAAGCCAAGATCTCGTAATGCTAAGTTATTGATTCTTTGATCTCGGAAGTGCGTCTCACCTACAGGGGGCCCGGTAATGTGGTTATTACATCAGTCCATATATCTTGAATAAGATACCTAGCCTAAAATGTGCTGGTATATAATAATGAACGGAGATCTATCCAGCTAGACACACACGGCGAGGTGGCAGACTGGTATGGTTAGGAATCTAGTGGAAGAAAAAGGTGTCTTGATAGTATACTTATGGGTGTTAATTATTTGTGGTAGGTACAAACCAGCAACATATGACATCCTTTAGACAAATCTGTTTTTGTAACTGAAGTCTACTAAAACTATACACCTAAGATATCTGAACAGTCAGGAAGTCCCCTCTGTTCCCATAAAGCTT